GACAATTACATAATGATGTAATCATCTCCCATTATGTGATCTGATGTAATTATCCTCCATTCATGATGCACTGCAAACTCTGACATCTGTGTTAATAAGGCAGGATTTAGGATGTTAGTAAGTTACTTTCATTATGTTAATGAGGCAGCATAGGATAGGGTGCAACACTTGTACTCAAGTTACAGTCCTGATCAGACGAAGAGGAGTTTCCTAGAAATGTGACCTATAACACCTGTTATTTTACAAGAGATAAAAGTGGAAAGAAGGATCTATTGACATCAAGAAAGATGACCTGAGAGTGACACATATCCATTGGATCTGGGGTCATTGTGCTGAGAAGCTCCTAGACCCACCAGAAAATTGATGGAGATGGTGTATGATCTCCAAGGGATGCTGGCCCCACGGTTAAGGAGACCAGGGTCTTCCCTAGAGCTAACAGAGAGAGAACAACTTACGGTCTTCCCTAGATAGATTCTACCCACTACCCACTGACACTGAGTCAATTCCAACTCCATGAAGTCTAAGGCTGTAAATCTTTACTGAGAATACTACCTACCTTATGCCTGTGGAGCAGCTGGTGAATTCAAACTGCCTTTTTGTTAGGCTGGTGACATGTGATCTATTCTACTATAAAGGCGCCTTTCTCCTAGAATGTTGCTGTTCTTATTTGCCGTGGAGTCAGAACTGGTCCATAGCTGATGCTCCAGCAGGTTTTCAAAAGCTGTTAATCCAACAGGAGGAGATTGCTCATCCTGCTCCCATGGAATATGTTCCCTGAATTTGCAATTTTTGCCTCCTAAATGGCAAGTGAATTTATTTCTGCTTGTTAAAGCTATTCACTTGTGGTGTTTCTGTTATAGTTGCACCAGGTAAGGAGGGACGGGGAGCACCAGGCCCTTTATACACATAAGGAACTTGTAAATCTAATCAGAATTGCACTCATCTTACTCCATCAATAACTCACACTTTTGTTTTCCGAACCTAAATTTCCTAGACCAAATCTGCCTTAAATTATTGAAGTTTCCCATTTATTTCTAAGAGTATTTCCTGAACATGTTTCAGTTACTTGCTAGGAAGCAATAGTCAGACACATGTATTTCTGTAATTTGTGTTTATTGCCCTTTTATGGGATCACGATGCCTCTATAGCAGGTCTGCTGTCGGAGTGTGTTATGCAAAGTAAAAATGACTCTTCACTGCTTTAGAAATAGGGTGCAGAGTGACAATGCGTGGCTGAGGGGGTGGGGCTCAAAGCCTTGCTTCTTTGGGATCTTCTGAGAATTGTTTGGGATGAGGAAAGTTCTTAATGAACACTTTATTCTGATCAGGTGGTAATTTAATTTTGTGGCTCTCTCAAAACAACCGTCTACTAACTCTTTTAATAATTCTCATTAATTTACCATTTCCTACTAATTGTGTGTTCCTTCTTCTTCCCAACTTCCATAAGAGTTAAAGTGGGTTTAATGATCGTGTCTTTTAAGTCCTAAGTGCTAAAGAGAAGATCAAATGGCATAACATTAGTAGTTTAAGTTTTAAAATAATGAAAAAAGTTTGGCACATTTTTATACACAGTGCAAAGCCAGGGGAGGAAGGAGTTGAGATGTGCTATTTCTATAGGAAGAAAAGAGATCTTGTCTTGACTGAGAGGTGGACCCATTGAGGGATGTGCTGATTGGCCTTGTGGGCTCAGAGGCTCTGTTGGCCTCAGTATGGTGTATAGGGGGTGATCCATGGGTGTTGGGGTCAGAATGATAAGGAAACAATTATAATGAAGCTTCTGCCAGAAGACTTTTAATTTGATTTGAGAGTTAAAAGAGAACTCTCCAATGTCTGTTCTTTTCTGATAATCTACTGACTCTATAATGTTTTTCCCTTCACCCATATGAATAAATGTTTATCAATTTTTCCCTTCATTTCCCCTCCTTGATAACTATATGAGTGATTTTATATGCATAAATCTTTACCTTTTTATAGTAGAGATCTTGGGCAATATTTGTGTTTTTGTGACTTATTTCACTCAGCATAATGTCCTCCAGATTCATCCATGTTATGCAATGTTCACAAATTCTTAATTGCTTTTCAATGTTTCATAGTACTTCACTGTGAATATACCGCAGTTGTCTATTCATCCATTGATGGATACATGGGTTGTTTTCCTTTGCTCTTGTTTTCCTTTGCTATTGTGAATAAAGCTGAAACACATATGAGTGCACAGACATCTGCTCCTGTCACAGCTCTTCAGATATCAGTTTTGAACAGATGGTTCTGTGTGCTCGAGGTTATCTAGAGAGCCGTCCTGGGTGATGAGAGACTCTTCTCTCTTATACTGATATTTTTGTCTCTGTTCCTGGATTGTCCATGCGAAAGCTCCAGATGGCTCAAACTTGAGTCTAAAACCAATCATCATGGTGAAAGAGCAAGTGCAGAAGGAGAATATAGAACAGAGTGCATGGAAACTGAGTGTGTGTGTGCGCGTATGTGTGTGCGCGCGCACTAACCAGGGATGGAAGGAAAAGGGAAAGATTACCATTTCCAAAAAAGGGAATAAGTAAATTTGTCTTCACTTCAGAAAAGAAAATTGCTTTTTGCTTATTTCTTTAGTTTCTTGGTCTACAGGGAGAGAGTAATTAGCCCCGTGAGGGTCAGAATGCAGGCACTGTCCCCATTCACGGAACCTCTCACTGGCTGATTGCTCCGTGTACCTGGGGTAATTCTACCTTCACTCACGCACCAAGTATCCCCTCAGAGCAGGCTGGTGGATAGCCAAAACATCTCAGCAGATAAATCCCAAGGCTCTCTGCTAATCATGCTTTCACCCCACTGGCTTTGAGGACTTTTCTGTTGCCTTTCTGCGCTAACATTCAAACATGTGCCTTACGTGTACGGTCTGGTGGCCTAGAGGTAAGAGGCTACATTGCAATCCCCAAAGCACATGGTTCAAATCCACCAGCTGCTCAGCAGGAGAAGGATGGGTACTCTCTCATGCTATTTACTAGCTCTGAAAACCGGCTCTAAGGTCAGCTCTGGGTTGGTTCCAACTCGATGACACACAGCAACAATGTATTATAGATATGATACTCCCGTAAACGAGCAGATTATTGGGCTAAATGAACTGTGTGTTATAGGGTTATGGAGGCAAAAGATCTGAAAGATATGACTTAGGGACCAAGAAAGGAGGAACGAATGAAAAGTGTTTTGAATTGAAGAATAAAGGGAAGCAAGAAGCTAGTGATTACCTGTGCTAATGCCATTGTGTCTCCCGCACAGCTGTGCAAGCTGGATTTCCTCACTTTACTATCTACTGTAGACTGAAGCTTCGTCTGACATACTCTGGACATCTTGAAAGGAGGGACCAGTCCTTGGAGAGGGACGTCATGCTTGGGAGGGTGGAGGGTCAACGCAGGAGAGGAAGACCCTCAATGAGATGGATTGATTCAGTGACTGGGGTAATAACGGGGGCAGGTGTGTTGGATATGGTGAGATTGGCACAGGATAGGGCAGAGTTTAAGGCTATTGTACATAGGGTTGCTATGAGTCCCTGGCAACTCAACGGCACATAACAACAACAACAGACTTAACTAGGATATGAATCCTTGTTATTTGCAGAACTGGTTCTATTTATTGCAGGAGAACCTTTTATGACTCATAGATATCAAGATTCCTGGCTTGACAGGAAGAGACGAAGTCTTAAATATTTCCAAAATTATGTAGTGGGGGTCACCAGCACCCAATGAGACATTTAGCAAAGATTCTCATTTTGGGCCATTTGAAAGACTTGACTCCTGAGCCTCAGGCTTCTTTCTCTTTCCTTGGTGGAAGGGAAGGTGGGGAAACTCTCGTGGCAGTCTTCATTACTGGTGGTTTTCCCCATCAGTGAGCCTCCTGATAGAACCTCTGCTTCCTCAAAACCTGGGCTGTGTGTCTTATGTGCAGAACCATCCCCAGAGCCCTCAAGTGTATTGACAGTGGATCTTGCCTGTGGGAATCTGGTGAGTGGAGTGCTGTGCATCCTGTCTCTGCCCTCTGCTTCTTGTAGAGAGTCATTGGAAGCTGTAGCTCCACTGGGATGATTTGGTCAAGATTTAGCATCGTGCAGGGCATCAATGCAGGTTGATGTCCTCAGGTCCCAGTGCCTGGGCCTTAGTTCTCTTTTTAAATTTTATTTCCATTGAAGGCTGAAGACAGGAGTGTGATGTGAGGGGGCAAGTGTTTTGGGAGGGATGCGTTCTGTCACTCAAAACACGTGGGCCCTTCCCTGGCTTTTCAGGTCATTGAAATATATTTCTCACTCTCATAAATGGTAGATGTTAGATAATGAGAGAGTCACTAGGTGAGGAGTAGGTGTAACTCTCCACTCACATGACAAACACACAGTGCCTTGATGCACAGGTCCTGGTGGTTTCTTTCTTCCCCATAGGCACGTCTTTGCAATGTTAACATTCTTCCCACTCTCAGATATGAGAAACAGCAGGCGGTGAGGTTCAGGTTTCCCTCCAAGAACTTAGGAGCAGGAGAACTCAGCTCTTTGTCTCTGGGGTGTCTGTGAAGGATCCTTGCCCACCTTGTTTTCTTGTCCCTTCCCTGGGCTCCTGGGCTGCTCAGCCCTGGGCATCCTGGGAGGGACAAGAGAAGGTGAGAAAGAACAATCCCAAGGCCTATGGACTCAGGTGACTGCCTGCTCCCTGGAGCTCTCTCTCTCTCTGACTGGGATGTGCCCACACCCCAGGAGGCAGCTGCCCTGGGGACCAGAGCATCACCTCCTAAGGTGACACTGTCAGAGCTGCCACCAAAACCACAGAGCTGGGGCCTCTCCGCTGACAGAGGAGAAGGAAGAGAGGGGGACTTGGCAGGCGGCTCACACATACCTGGTTTGGGCTGTCTACATCCAGGCTGGGGCAGCACCTGCAGCAGGAATTGAGAGGGTCCTTTGCTCCCGCAGCCCACCCCAAGGGTTGAAGCCTGCATCTCAGCCATTGATGTCAAGTCCTGCTTCTGGATGGGATGGAGTACAGGTGAGTCTACCTGCACCCCACTCCAGGTCCCCCTCCACTCTCCTGTAGCACTGTCCTCATCTGTCATTTCAGACAGGATTATGTCTGATTCCTCGGTGTGGTGGTAAGGACTCGGCTGTGCTGTGAACCTCTGTTCCCGAAGCCGACATGCATCCTCCTGCTGGCTGTGCCGGTACAGGAGGCTGTAGAGGTCTGGAGAGAGACTGTGAAAGACCCTGCTTGCCACCCTGTCCACCCTTGCTGTCAGGGAAGGAAGCTCAGCGCCTCTGTTCCACCCAGTCCTCAGCCTTAGCCGCAAAGTCCCAGGTCTGAGAGACTCAGCCAGGCTTCCTCTTAACCCTGCTCCTGTCCTGTCTCAGTGCACTCACATGTCCCCAGCGCACCCAGCCACCTCCCCTGCCCCACTCCTGCACAGCTCGCCCACCACTCACCACCTATGATTCACCCTTTTCCTTCTCCCAGAGAGTAAGAAGAGGTCCCCTTGCTCATTCCACTCTGTAGCTCTCTCCACTGTGCATATGGCCCCCACCTCTCCTTTCACATTTCCTCAAGAAGCTTTTCATGTGACAGGGCACCAGTGATCAAAACTGGGGCTGCAGTGGTGTGGGGACTTCTGGGAGTGCAGGCACAGTGCAGCCTGGGGAGCAAGGAGGCTGCATGGAGAGCGAATGGTGGCACGGAGGATGCTGTCCAGGGACTGGGCACCCACCCCTGGACCTGGACTGAGACCCGGGCGCCGTGCCTGCAGCCTGGAGGCCTGGGCACAACTGGGGAGAGTCTTTTCTGCTGAGCTTCCTGAGCAGGGGTGCGTGGGGAGTCTGAGAACAATGCGAGGGGACTTGGCTGTCCTTGTGGGATGACCTTGTCAGAGACTCAAGGTCAGCACAGTCCTGACCATCCAGTCTCCAGGGCCCAGCTGTGCTCGGCTGACTTGATGGGACACCTCGCTGTCCCCTGAGCTGGGACGTGGTATTTCCTGGGTCTCTGAAGGCGGGACTCTGTACGTGAGCTCTTCTCAGATCTGATAACTTGGGAGGGGTGCCACATTGAGAAGTTATTCTGCTGTTGCTGGGTTGATTCTAACTCAGCGCAGCCCCCCAGGACAGAGCAGAGCTGCCCACAGGCTTTCCAGGCTGTCGTCTTTCTAGATGCAGACGCTACCCCTTTCTCCAGCGGAGCAGCTGGTGGTGCAAACTTTTCACTTAGCATCTGAGTGCTTAACCCACTGCACCACATTCACGGCTTTGTAATGAAGATTTGGGAAATTGATAAGATCAGTTAATCAAATAGAGAGGCCCCGGGGTAATCTCTGGGCTTGCCCCATACCAAGGTGGGGCTCTGAGTGTCTGAAGAGCCAGGTTCAAGCCTAGAAGCAGCAGGAAGGGGTTGGTGTGCATCTGGGGCAAGAGCAGCACTAGCCATGAACTTGAGGACTCTTGATCTTTGCAGGGGCAAGTAGAATGCAAGGACAGAGAATGAGGAGGCTGGGTGAGGCATCAATGACGCTTCAGTAATGGATCTGGGCAAGACTTAAAAGTCTGAGGGAGGCTGGGGGAGGCTGAAGGAGAATGTGGGAAGCTGGGGGAGGCTAGAGGAGGGTGAGAGAGACTAGAGGAGGCTGGGGAAGCTGGGGAGGCTGGGGGAGTCTGGAGGTGCTGGGGAGACTAGAGGAGGCTGAGGAAGACTTGAGAAGGCTGGAGGAGGCTGGCGGAGGATGAAGGGAGATGAGTAGACTGGGGCAGACAGGAGAAAGCTGGAGAAGGCTGGGGGAGGCTTAGAGAGGAAGACATGGTGGTTGAGATCAGGGTCAGGCGAGGCTGCAATGAAGGTCTGGCCATTGTGACAAGTGGAAGAGGCTGCTTCCAGCGGACAACTCTCTAAATGGCCTCTCTGACCTCTCACTCCAGGCCCCCAGCATCACTGCTTGTAGACCCTCAGGAAAGGGTGCCCAAGGTGCCTTCCAGGTGAGAGGGCACTGCCCTCAGGGATGGGGCAGGCAGGACCACTGGCCCTCTGTAGACTCAGGACTCACACATATAGGAGATGGCACACATACCCGCTGGAGAGGTTTCATCAGGGGCGCAGGAGGGAAGTAGTCCCGTTGCCCTCCCCGCCCCGCCCCCCCCGGCTTTAGTCCCAGTTGGGGAGGGAGAAGGCCACTGTAGGGAGCCCAGTTGAGTCCTTCCTGTGAGCAGACCCTCCTGTGTCTGTCTCACTGGTCTCCAGCACCTGGTCATGGGAACTTACACTAACATCTCCTTCATTTGTGGATCCAAGGCCTGTCTACATGCAGACCTCATCACGAAGAGGGGACGTCCTGTCTTATTTAGAAGTGCGTGGTCCACAGCTTTGGGGCAGGTGGTCACCCACAGGTCTGGGAGTTAGGAGTCTGAGGCTCGGGTACCACTCAGGGCTCTGCATCGGGTCTCTGGCTTCACTTCCGTCACCTGGGGGACAGGAATGACAATGATGTCACAGCGTAGCTGGGGTACAGGGACCATGGGTCTTCATGAGGGAGCTGCCGCTTCACTCCCGGGCCACAGTGAGGAGTCACACCTGCTTCCAGACGGAAAAAAACTCCAACACCACAAAAACCCACACAAACCAAACTCTTCTTCCTAAGTGTGTGTCCCACCAAGCGGGCAGCTGTCTGACGGGAACGTATTAATGTGAGGCTCTCTGTGAAGTGTCCGCCAGACGTAGCTCTTCATGGTGGTGAACCTCTGGCTTCCGAGACGAGCTGTGCTCCACAAAGCTCTCCCAGGCACCTCTGCAATCCCAAGGTTCGTCCTCTCATCCACGCAGGGCGTGAGGCCAGGCTGACTTCAAGGAAACCAGAGGCCAAACAACTAAATTGAAGCCCTGCACTTGGAGCGGCCCCTGACTGTGCAGCCCTCCGTGCCCAGAGCAGCCTGCATGCCTGAGGCCTCCTCAGCTGCTGTCTTTATGCACCGCCAGGGCCTTCTGTGAAGCCTTTGTTAGCACTGGACCTTTGGACTTTTATTAGCAGTTGAAACACTGGGGCCCTGAGGCTACCCGGAGTCATTGTTTATTCCTTTTTCTGTGGCTCTTTGGATGTTTTACTGCAGAAGAGGCGTGGAGCCATGGGGGCCTCTGGGGCATCTCCCTCTCCTGTCCCCCTGGATCCTGGCCCCCCCACCTGGTGCCTCCTCTCTGTGTGGAGAAATGTCAGGTGGTGACTGCTGGTTCTATAAAATCACATCACACACAGGTCCTCTGCAGTGATCCTGGCCTGTCTCCACAAACTCATGTCACACACACGTCTTCCACACAGGAATGCCAGCCTGGACCCCTCAAACCTTCCATCACAGGTGCTCAAGGTGACTGTCCAGTGGTGGAAATCGTCACTGTGTATCTACATGGCCACAGCACTGCCTATGTCACCAGGATCCCCAAGGAGAGAGCCTGGCCCTGAGAAATGGGGTCTCATGTGGAAGAAAACGCAGATCTGTCTCCCACACACCAAGCAATTGAGACTCCCCGGAAGGTCAAACCCCCAAATCCACAGCCACTGAGTCTACCTGGGGAGCGGAGGGTCAGCAAGAGAGGAGGATCCTCAATGTCCAGCAGCGACTGTGAGGACGTTGCAGGCTCACATCTGCGGTTTCATGTGGGGCTGGGTGAACTGGAGGTGACTCCAAGGCTCCTAACAACAGCACAGATGGTTGTGCATTGCTTCTGGCTGATAGTGACCTTCGAGGACAGAGTACACCTGTCCCCACAGAGCCTCTGCAGATCTGATCTTTGCGGAAGCAGCCCACCACACCTTTCTCCCTCGGAAAGGTGAGTCAGTGTGAACCTTTCCATCAGCGGCTGAGCACTTTAGACTCCATGCCACCAGGAGTGTGTCCCTGGAAGATGGAGTCAGCGACCTCTCTGGTTCACAGCTGGAGGAACTTGGGACAGGAGCGTGAAGTCAGCCTTGGGAGACTCAATGAGCATAGAAGACATTGCAGTGTTCCTGCAGCCCCAGGCGGTGAGGACAGGTGAACAGGTGAGGCAGGTGAGCACGTGTCCCGCGAGGAGAGCAAGACGGGAGACAGGCGAGCAGAACAGGCAGCAGAGTGCCACTCCTCGTGGAGATGGGAGCCCATGTCACCCAGCGCTGACTGGGCACCTAACATGCTCTGGAAACCTTCGCAGAAGACAGCAAAATACTGTCTTAATCAAGAAAGCTACAGAAAGTAAAAAGAAATGTTTCTGTTCAAGAGAGACCAAGAAAGCCCTCTGGAGGGGAGGGAAGCTCTGTGCTGGCACACGTGGGCACCACGGCCCGGAGCTGGTACAACGGCAGAAGGGAAAGGGTCTGGTGGGGGCTGGCCACGCCCTAGGCCTGCTCACTGCAGTCAGTCGTGCTCATCCCAGGGACGCCCATCCTTGGGAGTGTGTCTTCTGGACACTGGGTTGGCTGTGTGGTTGGGGTCCAGGATAGCGGCCAGGAGGCACGTGGGGACTGCGGTCTCACTGGCCTCCTCCTGTCTCTGCACAGGGAGCTGGCGTCCGGCACGCGGAGCAACTTCAGCGTTGTCAGGACCTTCGTGCTGCTGGGCTTCTCCCACCTCCAGGAGCTGCAGGCAGCCCTGTTTGCCTTTATCCTGCCCATCTACGTGCTGACGGTGCTGGGGAACCTGGCCATTGTCACCCTCACATGCCTGGATGGCCGGCTCCACTCACCCATGTATTTCTTCCTCTGCAACTTCTCCCTGATGGAGGTGCTCGTCACCTCCACGGTGGTGCCCAGGATGCTGGCTGACCTGCTGGCAGCACACAAGACCATGTCGCTGGCAGAGTGCCTGACGCAGTCCTTCTTCTACTTCTCCCTCGGCTCCACCAACTTCCTGATCCTCACAGTGATGGCCTACGACCGCTACGTGGCCATCTGCCGCCCCCTGCACTACCCCACCATCATGAGTGGCCGGGTCTGTGTGAAGCTGGTGGTGGCCTGCTGGGTGGTGGGCTTCCTCTCCATCGTCTCCCCAACCCTGCAGAAGACTCGGCTCTGGTTCTGTGGGCCCAACGTCATTGACCACTACTTCTGTGACTCAGCTCCGCTGCTCCGGCTGTCCTGTTCAGACACCCGCCACATCGAGCTCGTGGACTTCTTCCTGTCGTTGCTGTTCGTGTTGACCACCGTGCTCCTCATCCTGGCCTCCTACGTGCGCATCGTGGCTGCGGTGCTGCGGATCCCCTCAGCCTCGGGCCGCCGGAAGGCCTTCTCCACCTGTGCCTCCCACCTCACCGTGGTGGTGCTGGGCTACGGCAGCACCATCTTCATCTACGTGCGCCCTGGCAAGAGCCACTCCACGCACCTCAACAAGGTGGTGGCCCTGATGACTGCAGTGGTGACCCCTTTTCTTAACCCCTTCATCTTTACCTTCAGGAATGAGAAGGTCAAGGAGGTTATCGAGGATCTGGCCAAAAGAATCCTCCTTGGAAGCTCAGCAGGCGGCAGGTGAGATACAGGCGGCAGGTGAAATGAGGAGCGCACCCCGTTGAGAGGCCTGGGACACCTAGCAGTCACTGGAGGGATGAGACTCCACCCAGTGTCCAGGTCAGCCATTCCGATGCCTTCTTCTCTGCCCCTTGCCCACACGAAGGATCTCTGCTCAGCATTCCTGCCCTTTGTATCCTTGGAAAACTCTGGGATACACTGAGGAACAGCTTCTGTGTTTTCACATCATCAGAACTACAGGTGGCTGGGGCACTGGCTGTGAGATGCCACAGATGGAAATGATGCCCAGCTGGGTTCTGTGGGTTGATGTTAACGCTCTGCACAGGACTGGGTTCTGTGGGATAATATTAATGTTCCACACAGGACCAGGTTCTGTGGGATAATGTCAATGCTATGTACACGACCAGGGTTAGATGGGATAATACCAGCACTTTACACAAAATTTTGGCGAAGAGTGAGAATTCATGCTATTGTTACAAAAGGTGCAGTTAAAGTCCCCTGCTCCACCTCCTAGAGTCCCTCTTTTCTTGGAAGGTCCTTTTCTGAGCTCTTGCCTGTAGGCCAGGCCCCGAGGACAGACAGTCTCCTTTCTTAGACTCTAGCTGCAGGCCCTGGATGGTCCCCAAAGATGAGAGGCCCTCTGGAAAGGGAGGGAGGGCTCTGAGCCTCTTGTGACCCCTCAGGGACATCTCTCAGAGCAGCTCAGGCTTCGCTAACTCAGGGTACCCCCTATTTTTCTCAGTCCCCAAACCTCCTGCTTCTGAACAGAATGGCTCTCAGAGGACATGTCCCAGCCCCCCACACAGGAAGGTTATGAGGGTCCTGGTACATTGTTTGGAATGCTCAGACCTGCTGCCCCTCTCAGGCTATGAGTGCAGACCCTGAGGTGGACAGCTGTCCTCTGAGGGGCGTCCTGAAGGTAGGTAGTGGGGTGCTCCCTGGGCAAAGCAGAAACTAAGGAGGCCCTGGAACAGCTGGGTAGACTGAGTCTAGACTGGGAGGTGGTCAGGACAGGTGTCCTTGGATGCCTGGTTGCCCTGGACAGCCAGAAGTCAGAGTGAGGAGGGTGCACGGGTGAGTCAGGTCTGGGAGGGGCAGGGATAGAAGGGGTTCAGGGCTTGGTGAGGAGAGGACAGGAACAGGTTAAGGTTGGGCAAGGACGGGTTTGTTCTGTGTGAGCAGGGAGAAGAGACGGGCCTCAGTGAGGAGAGAAGCCTTTGGTCTGACTTCCCACATCCAGTGCATCTAAGAGGTGGGGTAGAACACCTGCCAGCTCCTTCCTGCTTTGCACAGAGCATGGGTGTGGTGATGTGTGGACTGCCCAGTGTGGCCGCCCCATGTCCAGGGGAGAAGCACACCCCAGAGCAGGCCTGGGGCACTGACCTCACAATGACTCCGCACTTGTTTCGTGAGAGTACTGACCACAGGTTATCTCCACTGTGGGTCTCTTCTCCAGACTAGGGAGTGACTTCATATCTGGGAGGCAACTTCTGCTGGGAAAACAGTACCTCACCCTAAGAACTTCTCACTCTTACCTCCCCAGGGCCCAATTACTTACCCTTCCTGCAAACTTTGTGAAAAACTGGAAAACTGAGAGGGAGCAATTATCTCCTCCTGATGTGCCAGCTTTCTTCCAATGCCCTCCTGAAAAAACCAGCCCCAGAGTTACACACACGCACCTGAGGGGCCTCTTCCTGGGCTTCTCTAAACCTCCCCCTCTTAAGTCAGAGTCATTTCAGCTACAGCGGCCCGTTTCTGCTGCCACTTGCCACCTGATGGGGCCTTGGCTGGCTGGAGTCTCCATCACACCCAGAAGTACAGCGGCAGGAATCCCAGCAACCACATCAATCACACACCAATAATCACATCCACAACATTCTAGCAACCACGCCCATAATGCTCCAACAACTGCACCCACGGCACTCCAACAACCACACATGGAACCCCCCAAAACACACTCATGACATGTAAACAGTCACATCCACGACACCCCAACAATCACATCTATGATACCCCAACATCCACATCCATGAAACACTGCCAACCACACTCATGACACAACAGTCACATCCACAACACTTCACCCACATGTGTGACACCCCACAACTACATTCACAATAATACAACAAGCACATCCATGACATCCCATGAACCATATTCATGACACCCAACCGCTGCATTCACTGTATCACAACCACCACATCCATGACCCCCCACAACACATTCACAATACCACAACAACCACATCCATGACACGCCACCAAGTACATCATGGCATCCCACCAAGTACAACTGTGACATCACAACAACCATGTTTATAACAATCCAACAACTACGCCTGTGACACTTCAATAACCACCCCTATAACATCTCCATAACCATTTCCATAACGCTTCAACAACCACACCCTTGACACTCCAACAATCACATCCGTGACACCCCAATAACCATATCCATGACACCCAACCACCACATCCATGATACCCCAACAACTACAACCATGGCATCTCAACAACCACATCTATGGCCTCAACAATCATATTCATCACACACCAACAATCACATTTACAACACTCCAATAATTATGTCTGTGATACCCCAACAACTACATTCATGACACCCCAACAACCATATATGAGACCCCACAACCACATTTGTAACATCCTGACAATCACAACACTCCGATGACCACATCTGTGACATTCTAACAAATGTGTCCATGGCACCACAATGATTGTGCCTGCAAAACTCCCGCTACATCTGTGATCCTCAAAAGCTCTTTAATGACACTCCAACAACATTGAAATTCCACTAGTCCAGTCTGTGATACCCTAAGAACTATGTCCGTGAAGCCTCACAGTTGTATCTGTGGCACCCTAACAACTGAGTTCATGGCTTCTGGGTACTTACCGTGTGGTACCGGAGGAGGATCCACGTGTCCTTGGGAGCTCATTGGAAATTAGGATTCGAGTCCGTCCTCAGACCCACCAAGTCAGACCCTGCATTCTAACAGATCCTTAGGTAATTCTCATGCTGTGCTTGGCTTTCTCAGTTTAAATGGCTAAGACATTGGAACTCTAATCAAAAGACTGAATGTTTGTGTCTACCCAGAAGTACCTTGGAAGAAAGCCATGCTTGTTAGCCATTGAAAACCTGTGAGATATGATTTTGAATTCTACTGCTAAGATTTTGTTAAGGATTTTTGTGTTGATGTCCGTAAGGAATATTGGTCTGTAGTTGTGTGTTTTTGGTGATATCTTTGCCAGGTTTTGATATTAGGGTTATGCTTATTTGATAGAATATCTCTAAGAGTGTACCTTCTTTTTCTATTTCCTCCCCTTTAATTGTTACTTTTTAAAATACTTTTGTTTGGACTGAATATTTTTTATCTTCTGCTATTTTTTTTAAATTTTTATCTTACATTGGTTTGTATACAAAGTTTGTGTACATTGTTTTTCACACAGGTTCTTTCCCATTTCCTTCACACACCCCCACTCCACCCATCAAATTGTACAACTCTGTCCTCTCTAAAGGTTTGGTAGAATTCAGCTGTGAAGCCATCTGGTCCAGGTTTTTGGTGGTTTGTTTTTCTGTATGTTTGTTTTTATGACCTGCTCAATTTCTTCTTTTGTGATGGGTCTGTTCAAGTGTTCTATATCTAACCGTGTCAAACTGGATAGGGCATGAATTTCAAGAAATTTGTCCATTTCCTGTAAGTTTTCAAATTTACCAGAGTATAGCTTTTCATATTATTCTGATATTATAGATTTCATTCACTCTAGATGTGTTGTGATGTCACCTCTATCATTAATAAAGAAATTAAATTACTAGTGTCTTCTTTTTCTTTTGTTAAGTTTGCCAATGGGTTGTCAATTTCATTGAACTTTTAGAAAAACCAGCTCTTGGTTTTGTTGATGGTTTCAGTTGCTTTTCTGTTTTCTTTCACGTCGATTTCAGCTTGTGTTCTTATAATTTCCTTTCTTCTAGAAGCTGTGGGATTAGATTGTTGTTCTTTCCTATTTGATAAGGTTTTGAGTTAGATCATTAAGTTTACGTCTTTCTTCACTTTTTATGTGTGTGCCTATTACTATGGACTGGCCCCCGAGGACTGCCTTAGCTGCATCCCAGAGGTTTTGGTATGTTGTATTTTCATTATCATTTGTTTTAAGGAACATTTTTATTTCATTATTTATTTCTTCTATAACCCAATTGTGCTCTAACAGCATGTTATTTAGCTCCCACATTTGTGGATACCATCTCACCCTAGTAACAGTGGCAAAGTTTAATAGGGCAGCAAGCAATAAATGTTGGAGAGGATGTGGAGAGGTGAGAGCCTTCATACACTGTTGGTGGGATTGTAAAATGGTCCAACCACTCTAGAAGACAGTTTGGCATTTCCTTAAAAAGCTGAACATAAACATTCCATACGATCCAGCTATTCCAAAACTAGAATTATACCTCAAGGAAATTAGAACTAATACACAAATGGAGATTTGTATACCATGTACATAGTAGCATTATTCACCATTGCAATAACACGGGAACAGCTCAAATGTCCAACCACAACCAAATAGAGTGATAAATTAATTGTGGTATATTCACACAATGGAATACTGTGTAGCACTCGGGAGCAATGATTTTGAAAAATACTATGTAACTTGGGAGAGGATGAAGAGCAAGTGTACAGTCTGGGGACCCTTTGGGTCAGAACGGGGTCACTTCTCTGAGGTCTTGTAGGGTGTATATTTACCATATAATATTTTTATAGCATGTATTTTTCTAGGATAAAAAAGTTTATATAATTTTATTTTTTAAATTTAGTTAGTGTTTGTTAAGCACCTAATTTACAAAAGCCAACTGCACTAGAGAGCTGGACAATGACTAGGGATGATAGAAGAAGAATTGATGCCTTTGAGCTGTGGTGTTGGAGACGAGTATTGAATACACCATGAACTGCTAAGAGAACAAACAGGTTCATCCAAGAGAGGTTTAAACCAGGCTGTT